ATATATATATATATATATATATATATATATAAACTATTTATTCAGTTTTTACTTAAATAATCAAAATAAAATATTGATTTGAACAGCCAGATATTGAAAAATTGCAATTCAGTGACTAAAAAACTTATAAACCTCATCTCTCACATCTTCTCAAATTAATATCGATAATATATACATTTATAATATAGCTAAAACCAACAATAAGACGATGTCAAAAATGTGTGTTATGAAAACAATTTCGTCAATATCTTAAATATTAAGGTCTCATGTTTAACTTTGGTTTATGCGACTAATTTTCATTAAAATTACCAAATAAAACATGTTCAATATATCCTATTAAAAATAGAATCTACAAAAATATAATGTATATTCTATCTTAAAAAATAAAATAACCGTTTTCACTTCATTAAAGTCACACAAGTGAAAAAAGTCAAAGAGTTAACTGGTTTAAAGGTAACAGGTTACCCATTGCTATTATGGGTAGATTTTTAAAAGTACGATCTCTTAATAAAAAATAATTTGAAAGTACATTGTTGTAATAAAGACTAACAAAAATAGAATCCTATAATAAAAAAATGGGAAAAGTCTAAAAAAACCCAATGGACTTTAGTGTTTGGAATGATTAAGTACTTGGACAATTTTTTGGAACAAATAAGTCATTGGACAATCCAAAACATGTTAAATAACTTTTTGGACAATTTTTTGGAACAAATAAATCATTGGACATTCCAAAACATGTTAAATAACTCCTTGGACAATTTAAAACATGTTAAATAACTTATTGGACAATTTTTTGGAACAAATAAGACCTTGAACAATCCAAAACATGTTAAATAACTCCTTGGACTTTTCTAAAACCTGTTGGATACATTTTTATAACTTGTACAACTAGTTAATATAGTAAAATAGTGAAAAAAGTCCGGAAAAAAACCCAATGAACATTCATATTTTGAAAAACATTTTTTGAACCAAAAATGATTTAGATAAATAAAATTAAACAAATATAACAAAAAAAAAGTACTTACATTTACAAAAAAAATTACATTTAAAAAAGATTTTTGATAAA